AATGGCCCCCCCCCCCCAACATGCACGAACCCTGCATATTCAAATATGGGCCTATACCATGGATTTTATCAGTCACAGTTAAGGCAGAGAAATGCCGTTATCTTTCCAACGGGATAAAAAAAATGTTCCTGTCGTCTTTTTCTGCCTCCAAAAAAGAAGATAACTCTCCCACAGAGTGACGATCTCTTTATGAAATTCAAGTGATGGCCGCAGGGTTAATTAAGCAAAGAAAAGACTGGAGACCTCTTGTGGGGAAAGGGTATCTTTTCACACCAAACCCGTTTGTTTCAAGTGTAGTGTTATTCACCAAGTCCACTTGCTAGATTGTGAAAGATGTATGAATTCACACATGCTTTCACTTGCAGGCTTTGGTTACATGTCAGTGTCCTGTACATTGATCCTTTTGGTGTGTCTAGTAGCTCCTAAGTCAGGAGTGCTGAGGAAGGATCCCAGTTGTCCTGAGGGCACATATGCTTTTAAATAGGCAGAAAGAATGTTGGGTATACACAGAGAGGACGATGGTACTGAAGAGAAAAGACCAAGCCGTGCTTGTGTGTGTGCATTTCCCCAGGGCAGGTACCAGATGGACTCGATCTTTTCAGTTATCTTTCTGACCCTAGTGTAACAAAACTCCTTTAGAAATAACCGTACCTCTGCAAGAGTCACATATGCGAACAAAAAAACATTGTGTGCAACATAACCTGAATCATGCTGCACACACAGACATAAGGAATAGTTTGAATGTCCAGGCATTTTGCTCACAGTAAATCATGGCATGTTTTATTTTAAAAATACTGTAATTTTTTTTAACCATCCATCCAAAATCTTAGAAATGTTATAATGTATGGATTTAAAAAAATAATAACTAAGAATAAAAAAAGATGGACCACTAGATGGGAAGTGAAATTTTAAAGACTGAATTTAATATACAAATCAATATAATATAATAATTTAAATATGACAAAGTCCTTAAGGTGAAGACTGTGCTTTGTCAGGATTTATTTTGTAACACATCTGTATAGTTTTGAAAGCTTGGCAGCTGTTGTGGCTCATGCCGTTACCTTGTGTGCCAAATTGAAATGCTACAGTACAAAGTGAAATTGATACTTCCTTTGTGTTGCCTCTGCATTTCCTTGGTTTGACTTCTATTGTAAAAATCTTAAAGAAGAAATATTCAAAAGTCACAAAAGTGTGGATAATCATAATGAATAAAACTAAACCATGCAATAAATAACTTTTTTTTTGTTAATGAGTGAAAACCATAGTCCAAATAAATTATAGTTAGTCTTGGATACATGCAGTATTTTCAGTAGGAATGAGAGCAGGTTTGTGTTTTGCTCTGAACAGATTTATGACTACGACATTAGAAAGCAGCATAATTTCTGGAGGGTCCAATGCTTTACAAAAGACATAAATCCTTAATATTTAGAAAATAGTCAGTATAATTATTGCAGGGCTACTAAAATGGAAAACAGAATAATTCCAGGAACTACTAGGCTAAGCAAAAAAAACATTATTAATGACTTCTGTCTAAATAAGTCAGTTTGTTTTCTGTTGTTTTCAGAGACACATTTTATGCATTTTAAAATTCAGTAGGACCAGGTTTAGCCTTTCATCCAAACCCCACTCTGCTCTTGCCTCTCTTGTCTTCATCAGTCTTATGTTCCCACGCCACAACCCACTTCCTGGATCCATCAGAGATGGCTCTTGTTTCAAGGTTATACCAGTCAGTGTGTGTGTGTGCGCGCGTGTGTGTGTTCTTGTAAAAGAACATGATCTTACACAAATTAAATGTTAGCAGCATACTGTATATATTCACATAATCTTAATTTGAAACTATCTTAACAATTTAAAAAGTAAAAACTCCTGCTTTCAAAATCTTGTCTAATTGCAAAAGTATTGGCATCAAAATATGCTTGAAGTGCTAAAAGTAAAAGTGCTCATTATGCAGAATGGCACATTTCACAGTAATGTGGATTATATTTAATGTGTCAAAGGTGGAGCTAATGTTTTGGTAACTACCTTATATGCATATAATGTGAAGTACTTCACATGCACACCAGCGATCAATAGTCTTATGATTGTAGTTTGTTATGGAATCTGATTCTGAAAAGTAGCTAAAGGTTTTAAAGGTAGTTCAGTAAAAAGTACAACATTTCCCTCTGAAATGTAGTGAAGTGAAATTATGAAATAGCAGAAAATGAAGATACTCAAAGTACAAATACCTCAGTTGTACTTGTGTGTGTGTATATATACTGTATAATTACATATACTATACGCAGGAAGTTGTAGAAATGTGAACATTCACACACCCATGCCTATCTGAGACATGTTAAATATCTCCCACTGCCCCAAAAGTCAGAATTAGCTTTGTGTTTTTTACCATCTTCGCTGCTATTCTACCAAGATCTTTCATTTCATGTATCATTGAGCAACCTGTCCATATGAGCCAGTCTGTTTGTGATGGCTTTGTCTTTGCGTGTGGTGTTGGCTGGACTAGTTTTCACCCCACTGATGTTATGGCTTTCTGGAATCAAAGTAGTGGGACATTATGCTACGCTGAAATAACTTCAAGCCTCTCGGTAATGGAAGACACAAGACAAATGATCATTCTGTGTAGCCGCCATTGTGGCCCTGAAAGTTGCCCAAGCAAGTCTGCTTTCCTATTTTGAAAAGCTTAACCTGTATCTTAGGGTGAGGAATAGGCAGCAGTGTGTGTGTGTGTGTGTGTGTGTGTTTGCATACAGTATCTACTTGGAGCATGCTCAATCACACATATACACACCATCTCTCACACACCCAGAGGCACATATACAGAGCAAAAGAGCAGAGGATGATAGGAAGGTGTAATGATGTGTGACAAGAGTATGCTGGAATCGATTTGCTTGGGCATGGAAGGAGAGAGAGAGAAAGAGTGTGTGTGCATGTTGTTTGGTCTCAGAGTGGTGCCATGCCATTTTCTTTTGCTACCAAAAAGTGCAGAATGACAGTATTCCTAAAGAATGAGCAACAGAAGACGGAGAGGAGTGGCTCTTCATAAAGACATGGTGGGTATATACGGTGCACAAGTTCACCACTGCTGAAGTCTTCCAGTGAAGTAAAGATGCAAAAGGCTTAAAGAGAGACATCCACACTGTGGCTTTTAAGGTGTGGAGATAATGACTTGGGGAAGAAGAGGAGGACATCAGTCTTTGGTACAGAATATAGTGATTTTAAAGAAACATTTGTCATTGTTAATTGAAATGCAGTTGTATGCTACTGTACCTTAAAGTCAGACCAAACAAATATAAATATTTACATATTTTTCTGACTACAGTACATAATCATCTCGCAGTGGCCAGCACCTCTGGCCCAAAGCTGTTCTCTGTTTTAATCGTTTCGCTAATTTAAAAAAAAGTTACATAACATGTGTTATAGTTCTAAAGTATATAAATCAGTTTTAATCTGTTGGAGACAGGACTGCACTCTTCTGGACAGAGATCTCAG